TATAACAATCTTAAAATTACATTAAAATTGTTATGCAGATATTGAGTCCCGTACTTTTGGGGGAAACAAAAGATTTCAGTTCATGCTGATGCCGATGATGTACAAAATGGGAGTGATGATGACAATGTTGATGGTAATAGCAGCAATCTCAGCGAAAGGACTTCTCATAGGTAAGCATCATTTTTTTCGTTTCACATTATGAAAAGTGTCGCCCCCACGAATGTATAACGGTCTCATGACTACCTTGTGGATAACGTAACCTGCATACATGATTAGATGATATTGCTGACCTATTTACTACATATGAATTCAGTATTCATATCAATGTTAGATTTACATACGAGATTTATCCAGCATTTCTTATTTATTAAATTATTTATTTATTTAATTTAAAAAAGTTTTCGCGTCGTATGTTTCTCATTAATATCGATCAATTATTGGAGATAATTTTTATTTTTTAACAAATTGGAAGGACTCTTCCTATACAAAATAAATAACAACTTTATTTTTTATCATCGCGAATAATAAAATTTCGTTAACAATTGTAACTTATTGACAATCGTAGACTTTTTTTATTACAATATTTATGTCTCAACCAGTTTGGGTTACTTATGTATCCATCAGTAAAACTTAATAATGTGTATTAAGTTTTACATGATTTTCCAATTATAGTAAACGGAAGTATTATTCTGCGTTTCAGGCGCTATACTGCTACTATTTAAACTCAGCACCTTTCTAGCGAAACTTCATTCAGGCTGGCACGCGCCATCACCACAACCATGGCTATCACCGCAACCAGTTCACCTGCACGTTCACAACGCTTTTCCAGTTCACCCACACATTCACCCACAAATATACCAAAGCTGGGATTCAAGTGGCCCCGTATATGAGGATCAGTATTACTATAAAGGATAGAATCATACATTAAAAGGACGATTTTGCTGTATCTAAAATATATAAAAATTTAGCTATTAATTTTACAGATTTGAAAATAATTTTTAGACCATTAAAATAATTATGTAGGATGCTCAAACTGGTTTCTAGAATATCAAAGGTTTTGTCATGTCGTTTAATATACTTCAGATTCTCGCGTAATTATTTTGATGGCCCAACAAAATTATTTTCAGGTCTGTATTTATCTAAATGTTGATATATTTTAAATAAAATCGTTCTTTTCGTGTATAAACTATATACATATTCCAACCAAAAGATTTATACTGAAAAGTCATTTGCTAAATAATGGTCATATCAAAACGCACAATAGTCATCGATAGAAGCTACATTATTTATATAATTTCTGAGATAATTTTTATCCTCTTGTACTAATTTATTCAGTGATATTATGAATACCTGATTTCTTCTGGCTATAGATGTTAATATTTACGATGGCACACTAAAAGAAACATTTGGTATGAATAATCATTGTTTTGTTCACATCTGAATTACATAAACTTTCTTATTTTAAATTAAAAAAATTTTGTTACATATTTTAAATTAAAAAGCAAGGAAGTTTTCATAATTCATATCAATAAAATAAATGGTTATTTATATCAAACATTTCTCTCGGTACGTACTTCTCGCCATCCAGATGCTATTTATTGGAAGTACACACACGCACACACACACACACACACACACACATACACATACACACGCGCGCGCGTACACACATACTTTGTAAGAAAAAAATATCAATTTTACGAATACTCTCTAGATTTTTTACTTGTGGCACACAGAGTGACCGATTTCTTCATGCATTTCATTATAAATTAAATATATGCAGATATACCAAAGGAATTTTCCTAAATATAATTATAAGTTCGTATAGAATATAAAGAAACATGAAATTCCTTTTCTAAAGGAAATATAAATAGCGTTTTTATAAATATGTAATTATTTATTAATAACTTATTATGTATTATTTAATTATAATTTATTATTCAAATAAATGTGTTTATTATACATATGTGAGATGTACTACACGATGCACCTTCAAGATACGTAAACAAATCAGACAATATTCTTTGCATATTGCATGGCAAGGAACATATTCTCTGTAATTATCTTCATCAAGCAACAATTATATAGAAAATACCAATTTGGTCTCTAATTATGAAAAATATATGTATAACGTAGATCTACATTTCAATAGAAAATGAAAAGTATTTATATATTTATATATTTAAGAAGTACACACATACCTCATGTTATTAATAAGGAATTGTATTTACGTTACACACTGGATTTCCCATAATTTTTTATTGTAATATATATATGAATTACACGATGAGTTTCCCATATCTTTTTATTGTAATATATTTATAAATTCCACATTTATTTTTAGACTTGTATATATTTGTTAATATCTCGTATGTTTTCTATTTCTGCTTTTTCTTTTATTTTTTCTAAGCCGATAAGAAATCTTATATTTTCTCCAAATTAAAATTCAATTTTATAAAAAATACGATTTTTCTAATAGAATTTTAATCATTATTAAAATTTGCTAAAATTTATTCATTGTTAAGAGAATGTAGCGAATTCTTTGCGAATTATTCTAGTTTATTCCGATATAAATAACATTCTCTGGTGAACGAGACCCAGTTTTCCCGATCTAAAATCCGGCGTGGGGTATCTGACGAATAAAAAGTTAAATATCTCTGCTGCGCTTCGCGTAACGCGGTGCAGTCTACATGGCAAGTGAACAGAAGACGCACATATTGGAAAGCAGAGCGGTATTTCTAAGAGTTTCCATCGGTATCTTTATATTCGTGAAATGTTAACTTTAATTAAATGTGAACGAATCGCGAGTATTATCACTAATAACATACCATAATGAATTAGTAATAGTATAATATAAATAATTATCGTGAATGTTATATGAGTGTGGATCTAACATCGTATGATTACGTCATTTTACACAGCACAAGATAATATATTTGAATACAAAGTAAGTTGTAAAATAACTTAGTATAATAATAATAATAAATCTTTATTAAATATTTATTAATTTTGCATACAAATAATTATAAAAAATATATGGATTTATTATTTTTTTATCTTAATATTATACATGTAAGTTTAATAAATATAATTACCAGGAATACATCTCAATTTTCAATATGCATATTTCAGTCAATAAATCATTGTAAATTCGAGGACATGAATGGGACCAAGTTCTTTGTTTGTATTATCTGGTTGGTAACATTGTCAAAACTGTCAATTCGCGCTGAAGAGAGACTGAACAATTGCCAAATCAGCTTCAACAAAACCCAAAATTTGAAGATCTTTCCAGGAATCAAGTTTTTTTTAACGGACAGTGAAATCAGTATTCATGTGAGAATTCACGACCTACTACGAGGTATTGACAGTACTTATTTGCTTTTGCATTTTACGTTTGAAGAAGATTAAGATCTCTCTTCTTTAGAGACGGAAGTGCAAACTGCAAGAAGCAAAGAGAAGAAGAATAATCCTTTACAGAAACTTGGATTTATGATGACAATGACGCCATTTATTATGCAGGTTTCTTGTTTATTAATCTTATTATAACATTTCCCGCTAGAACAAATGATAAATCTGTCTTATTTCAGATACTTTCCTTACCGGGCGCCATAGCAAACGTTAAAATGTCACTTCTGAAGAGTATTATGGTGGCGCAGTTAGCAATTGCTATAATGATCTATAATTTAATTAAGAGCTCGCAAGACTCGGAAGTAGTGATCGTCCATAAGCCGTATCATCACATACATTATCGTCATGGTTTTCCCGATGACATCGAGGATGAATGGTTTGGTAGATAAAATATGCAAATGAGTGTGATATCAATAAGAACAATATATTTCTCGCGATACTATGATTTTCCAAAGCGAGACATTAGAAAGTATGAAGGACATCTGTGATATAGAGATCGTAAAACGCGATGCAAAATTTATTTTTTTAATTTTAAAATTATTTATATGTCTTTATATATAATTATTAAATTATTTTTTAAATTATTATTATTGTTATTATTATTATCTATTTAATTATTATTATTATTTTATTTATAAAATTATTTTTTACACATGTTATATATATTTTTATTTGTAAAAAAATGTAACTCGCAATATACGAGAAAATATATTATTGGCCTTTCGTCGGCTGCGTATTCACCTGTCCGCGTTTTTGCCTCGTATTAAATAGACAGACTGCCAATATCAAGATGTCGGCTGACCTACTTTGGGCTTCCACATAACGGCATTTTGGTCCAGATTCTCACATTCGCGTGCAGGCATACCCATTCACAGTTTCTCATTTCTCTCTCGGTAAATTCGACATCGAAATCGAAATGAGAATTCCATCGCGCTTCTCGTTGATAAAAATATTCTTGCAACAGCAGAAACATGAAGTTCTTATTCATGAGCAAGAAGAATGTACAAGGTAATCATAGCGTAAACATTGGAAGTTTCGTCAACGAATTGAATCTTCAAGACGCGTCGATATTCGCTATGCGTATACGTGCCAGAAACCCACCTTCCGCGATTGGTATTGTTGGTATGCCACGAGGATCGTTGTTCCTAAATCGATATCCCGCAGTACAAATCAGATCGGCTTGTCGTTTTCTGGACTACAAAATGCATAATGCACCACGCGCACCTGGCAAATAAGAATCGAACATTCGCTTATCGCGAACTGCTTGAATCGTGTAAACATAGGATTACGTGAAGGAATTTAGATCTCTCTTTTATAAATCTCCAGTAATTCAATATTCCACAAAGTGGAAACGAGTTCCTAATTCCTGTTCCAAATTGCATTGAAAAAGTCGAACAATTGACGAATATATTAGACTAGTCTGAAGAAGCATTTTATTGTGCACAAGTTTCACGATTATAAAAGTTTTAATATCTATTGTACATTTTTAAATTATCACGAAAATAGAATTTTCTCTCTTTATCGACTTAATTAAGATATTTGACACTTTCTATATGTCTGATTGTAATGTGCAGTTTTGAACTGCACGACGTGTCTAAATTTTGTCTTCAACATTACAGCTTACTGTGATTTGTAATGATGTCACTTTCGATGATTATTCGATTTCTAATCTTGTCAAGTTCAATGCATCATATATCGGATGAAATTTCAGATAAAATTTTCGAGACACACATTTTGAATCGTTGCGAATCACGTGCGAACGACCCTGATCCTCAATTTACCGTAATGTCCCATTTATGTTTGGGCGATTAAAAGCGAGAAAAAGATCTCCAACCATATAGTAGTTGATATTTTATCAGAACAACCTTTCGCGATTTTCTTAATCATTTATATTAGTCAAAACAAATCAGATGTTAACGAGATTTTCTTAGAATATGTCTTTGCATAATGTACTTTGCATAATGACGTTAAAAAATGCAAGATTCTGCTGACATTATTCGCAGTGTCCGATTAGCTAATCTATGTGCATTGAACGTGCATTAATTTATTATATCCAGCATCGTCCAACACTCCCAACAGCCCCTTCGCTTCTTATAAGAAACAACCATCGATCTGACAGCGTTATGTGTGAGGAGATAAAACGAAAGGTCATCTAATAAATACACGCTTATATCGTGATCAGTGTAAATGTCTCTTCGTGTTAACGTCCATTAGAAAAAAAGCATTATTCTGTCCCTCAAAAAGTCATCTGTGTCATCAATAGCAATTTAAATTAATTCTGTGCAATAAATTTCAATTATTTTTGACATAATAGTCAATAAAATTTAGATAATAATTTAACTTAAGTTAGATTTAAATCTTTTTTATTAATAGATATTAACAAAAGGACAGGAATGTGAAAAAATTAACAATTGTATTAAATAAAATAAAAAAACGGTATACTATGTGTTTACTAAATGACTTGCATAAAGTCTAGACAAATATTTACCGTTTTTCCTATCCATTTGTGGCTCTTATAACTCTCTCAAGTAAAAACGTCGTCCATAAAACTTAATGTTATGTCACAGACAGCAATATGAAATTTTACAGCGGGGATTGCAATCTATAGCCACGATCCACTCGATCCACGACCATTAATGATAACCGTGCAATTATCTCCCAGCCGAGTCTGCAAAATGTGTGAAAGCATCTGCCCACTGGGAAAAACGTCAAAGGCCTCCCGATTTTTCCGTCTTGTCCCTTTCACACTTTCCTCTTCTCCCTCGTCGTCAGATCGTCTCATAGATAACTCGCGGAGAAGACGAGAACATTTTTCTCATTTATTACGTCACCACTGTATGCTCGGAGGATTCGCTTCTGCCATCATTCAGTCGCGCGAACTCGAAGCCGCAGGGATCTTCGCAGGATGTCGTCCTTCGTGGTGAGGATCCAAGGCCGGCAAAGGAAAATACTCGTTATCATACGATAAAGCACACGTTTTTCAGTTGCAGAGGAGATGGTGCGATCTTCTGTGCCTGCTGTGCTATCTGGTCGCGCAACACCATGCCGTCGCGGACGATATCAGGCCTTACGAGTTCTCCTTCAACATTGTCGATTTTCAGCACAGATTTGAGAAGAAAGGTATACCAATCGAAAAGAAAGTGTCGGGAGACATTCTTATTATTAATTGGTGAATTAATAATTCTCGATAAATAATGAGATTAATGAGATTTTTGTGTATTTCTTTGTTGAGACGCCGAGGGACTGATTACCGGGGAATATGGCTTTATCACAGCCGATGGTGTCTACCACGAGACTGGATATAAGACCGATAAAAATGGGGATTTTATTATCACAAAACAAAGGAACCGAAAAATAACGAGTCGTAAGTTACGTGCTGCTATTGAAGCGATAAATTTTATGTACATTCCGCTCTAAATCTGAACGTTTCGTCTTGGTTTAACAAGTGAAGGACGCGCAAGAGATATTCAAGGATAGACCGGAAGCAGCGAAGAAATTAATCGAAGCCATAATGAAGGCTTGCAGCGGCTGTAAAATACCAATAAAGCAAGAAAACGATCGACCAAAACCTGTGAAGACAGTCACGGAATCACCGCTGCCGAAGAAGGTGGAGCCGATATTGAAGCGGATGATGAAGATATTGACAGGTAGTACAAAAAAGAATTTGTGAGCGTTAAATTAGGTAATATTATACGTATAAATTTACACTCTTCAATTTTGTAGCCAACACGTCTATTAAGGGTTTCCCAGAGGAGAAAAATAAGTTCATCAAAAAGGAGGACATCACGAAAAGTATGGTGCGAGCTGCGAAAAAGTTGCTATCCGAAGAAGATAAACTCACCGTGAATGATCGAGTCCTGGAGAAAATGGCAGACGATCTGTACTATCAGTTCAACTATACGATAACGTCGCACGGCCATCACGAGGACGGCTATCGCAGCGGAAGGAAGAACGGTAGCTATCGGTCTCCAAATGAAAACGGTATCGACACACAGGTGAGGTATCTGTCAAACGAATTCGGGCATCAGCCCAACATCACGTTCGTTCCGCAGACGTACGCGGCTGATGAGAAACACGGTCTCAAAGGATACTCGTTTCGTTGGTATTGGTCGTAAATTCGCAACTTTATATGTAATGCGATTTTACTTTAATCAAGATTTATTACTTATAAATATGCTAACATTTATTTAAATAGTATGAGCCACGTCTAGAAATTCACAAGTTTCTATTTTTTGAGGTTTATCGTTTATTTGAGACAAAATAATTTAACACGCATAAAAAATAAATAATTCATTGAGATAAAAATAATTATTGTAAAATATATATATATATGAATATTTTGATAATTTTCCTGTATAATATAAAATAATTTATTTTCGAAAATGTAATTTTATTTATTATCTTTTAACTATCTTCTGGACACGGCTTTTTTGATAAAATGCATTTATGAAAGTAGATATAATTTAGATTATGTTATATTACAAATTCAAAATAAATATTACAATAAAAAATCTTTGTAAATTTACGCGATTACTTTCATGATTTATTTGGAACCTTCGATGAACACCAAAAATAGGTCGTAAAGTGTACGTGCGATCATTCTTCAGTTTCTAACAGGAACGAAAACGGTATGCAAGCAAATGTAGCCAGAGTAGTAAACTTGGTTAAGCTAATCTGTAATTAAGAATATCATTAAATTTACACCTTTTTTAATTTTCTACGAAAAAAAAATTAACACTTATTATAGTCACATAAACGTAATAAAACTATTGTTTATACACACTCAGTGAGAAATGATAATGGAATCGACGTCGATTTCATTGTCATTTCTCACTGGGTATGTATATCGTTTGGTCAAGTATTTGTTACTTTGCATCAACCAGATGGTTCGGAGATCATTATTAGAATGACTCTAAATTCATATTCGAGGGATAGCAAACCGTGATGAAACTGTCACATAAATAATAACGAGATAACGGTAACGATAGTATAGCTCATGAGGTTGACATTTCTGACAAAGCATGTTACACTCAGTTTGCGTGGTTATCCTTTTTTTTCGAATTACGCGTGTACATATCAGAGATGATACTTTTTTCTCCGCATATGTGTAAGAAAAATTAAATTCTTAAAAACAAACATATCAAATGGCTGATTAAAGAGACCTTTGCGCGGATAAGCCATATTTTGTTTCATTCTGACAGATTACATACAATTTTACATATACGCAATGTAATATTCACGCGCTACTAAGCTTATTACATCACGTAATTGATGATTAAAGGCGACGCAAGCGAACTACGGAAAGGGCGAGTGTAATCATAGTGAAAGGTAAGGTGAAAATTCCCGAATGATTGATGCATAATTCACGAAACCGGCGCCTCTACATGTTCCGGGATTGTATTAATTAACAGCGCAAAAGTCATTGAGACACGTTGTGACAGTCGAGTTGCCACAACGTGCACGTGACTATGAGGCTTTGAATTTCTGAAAACCGAATTACTATTCTTATGATAATTAAACGAATTTATTATAATTAAATGATATTTCAATTTTTTCAGTGAAAAGTAGACAAGATAGACTTAAACAAACAGTATCAGCATATACTGATAATTAAATATAAGACAATTAAATTAAACAAACTAAATTCAATAAGAAAATATAGAGCGATGAATATTCCGATATATGAGAGATGTTCAAAGATATATTAAACATGTACGATCAGAGATTTAAGCATTTTTCAAAAGCAGCTATTTCTCTCTATAATTTAATTCTTCTTTGTTCTTAAAACGCCGATAAAAGTCAAGAATTGGGTTAGCATGTGTTGTCGAGCAAGTGAAATTTTTGTCGGTCCATGTACTGTTAATCGCGTGTGCCAAGTTGCTCATAGACTTTAAAAAAAAATCGCTGCCACGTATCACAATTCAAATTTTGTCTAGTTTTTTTATTTATAATTAAACTTACTCTTTTTTCAAATTTTTAGAACTAAAAAAAAGTAAAATTAGTTAAACTGAAATTAAAATTAAACTATTCGGGATGAAATGTTATATATATAT